GAGGCTACGCATTGCTTTATGCACCCGCATGAACATCAAGGTAAGAATTGAATTTCAGTAACCCATAGCTTTAATAAACTGATATTCACCGAAGCTAATGAAGAATTATGTTTTATTAAGCTTCAAGAACATTCCATACAATTGGGTTTTAGCGATGTTTGCGATACACCAACAGGATCTGGTGGTTGGTTAACTTTAGATGACACATCATTTGCTATAGCTTTCATGTTTGGAATTGCCATAACACATATTATTGACTAAGTCTCATTGGTTTAAAATTCGTTTGAAAAAGGCCATATGTATGTTAAGAGAGTGAAAGTTTAGCCTGATTAAAAGGTTGTATTCATTTGTACTTCCAACATGTAATGGAATAAAACTGACCCAAAACCTTTACAGTGGTTTCTTACCGGGGTAATATAATTGCAACCAATGAATCAAATAACTTGCTTTCATATTCAAATTAGTATGAATTCATGTTGCAGTTAAATGGTGTCAAGCCATTAAATTTCTGGAACAAAAACACCCAGTATTGTTGTCATTCATTGACACTGTTCAGTTTACATTAAATAGTGACCAGTAATACCGATTTTGAGTTTAATACATAATTAATCCATCATTTTCAAAATGCCATTAACTTTTAATGAATCGTGATATATTAATTTTTGCCTAGTTTACTCTACTAATCTCTAGTCATATTTTAATAATTACAGCCTTACAAATATATGTTGATATATGAACCCAGCATATTATTCCAAATCAATATCCCTACAAACTGACTATTTGAAACTTTGTTTTGTTTCAGAACATGAATTGTTTCATCCACAACAACATTTCACTGGACAACAATATTAGACGCATGAAGAGTATGTATAACTTTAAATATATATCATAAAATAAAATGTCCATTTTATGAGAGCGTTAGGGTAGCCCTGGCGGGTAAGCTACCAAGGCCACACGAAGATCTGGATTCGATTCCCCATGGGCAATAATGTGTTTCTTTCACCATTTCTGGTCGCCGTGATATTGCTGGAATATTGCTAAAGCGGCGAAAACTAAACTCAGTCAGTCAGTCCATTATATAATTGTCTGTCACATTTACTATTTAAATAAATATGAAGATCTTATGGCTATAATGCTAATGTTGTATATCAAAACTAAATCCATTATCTGATTCCAATTTGAGTTTGGTAAAAGGTGACTAAGTTGATTTCACTTTTTGGTGTTAAATTTCAAACTAAAAAAGTTGCATTTCTGACTAAAACTTCAGTTTTGCCTTTTGATAAATTGTACCTAGGTTTACACTTATCATGAATCTGAAAAGTTCATGTACTACAAATTCATGTATTCTAAATTATATTTGTATGTTGAATAGACATGTGAAGACTGAGAACTAATAAAGGTGATGTGAACTCAATGTTATATGTCCTGTGTTATGTTCCATGACTAAAGGGTGGTGAAGTAGCCTAGTGGGTAAAGCGTTGGCTCGGGTCAGCTGAAGACCAGTTCGAACCCACATCGCACAATGTGTGTAGTCCATTCATGGTGTCCTGGCTCGCGTGATGTTGCCGGAATCCATTGCTAAAAGCAGCGACAGCCAAACTCAAGTCAATTATTAATCTTACATATTATCATCACAGTACATATTGACACAACACATTATTTTGTTCTATCTTTATTAAACAACATTACATTGGATTATCTCCATAGCAAATTCTGCAGGACAGATCTAAAAACATTGTCAATTGCCACATACAGCAATACTGCCGCTATGGTCATGGCAAGCAAATAATCAAGTCCCTGCATACACAGCTTTAAATTATTTAACACATTGTTTTCTACCTTTATTAAATGAAAACCGGTATTATTTAATTATTGCTTAATGCGCCACTCTAGCAGTATTATGCAGTTATATAGGCTTAATTAATGATGCACCCTTACTAACCAGAAACATAAGAGGAGATAATCCAGAGATTGTTACTCATTCTTGTACCATGGCAAATCCATGCCTCTAGCACTGTTGCAGCTGTATGACAACAACCACTATGATTGAAATCAGCTGTGATGACAGTCTGTAAAGCTGCAAATTCAGGCTATCCACCTTGTACATTTTCAACAATCCCATGTAAGGTTTGTAGTTGGGTGAATGACATTCAGCAATATCACAACTATATGATAGCACATATATAATTCTGGAGCAGTCACTAATGGATACCTGCTATGCAGCCAATTCAGTTATAATTTGCAACCATATGATGACAGTTTGTAAATAGCTCAGGACCAAATAATCCAGTGAATGGAATTATAAAAATCAATTCAAATATTGTTGGCGATATGGCGACAAAATATTGCATAAGATCGATCTAGAAGAAATAACATTCTGTTTTTGTTGTTTAATATTACATTCAGCATATATTGCAGCTCTGTGATAACGGGTCAGGCAAATCCGCATTCATCCACTTACAAATGTTGAACAATCCATATTCTGTTAAAGGGTTCATTGTTGGTCAATATTAGCATTGCAGCTACGTGATGACAGGTGAGACATGACAGTACTGTGGGCCAATTCAGTACTATTGCAATCATATGGTGACAGTCTGTAAATTGAAGATAAAATCTCAGCTAAATAGTCAAGTGAATAGAATTGTGTGAACATTTCACAACTTGTTGCATGACAGGTATAGATGAGTTTGCATGCTATTTTGTCTTTGTAGTTGTTTCTTATGTTACCCTCAGCAATATTGCAGCTAAATAATGTCATAAGTAAACAATCAATACTGGACCACACAATCCAGCGCCTAATATTTTGCATAAGAGTATGATGGTAAATTGTGTCTATGGAATAATTATTGTTCAATGCTACATTCAACAGTACTGCAGCTATAATGGCAGAGGAGCAATAATCAAGTCCCAATAGACACAGTAAACTTTATACAACACATTGTTTTTGTTCTTACCTGCTTATTAAACAGCTAGTGAATATATCTTAGTTGTTGGTTAATGCCACACAGCAATGATTCAGCTAATTATGGCAGCTAGTAACTCCGAGAGATTCTTATTCTCATTCTTGTAATATGACAAATCCATTGCTACCTCCAGCACTGTTGCAGCTCTGTGATAAATCGGAACCACTATACTACTATGTGATTAGAATCAGCTGTGATGACAGTTTGTAATCAGTAAATCAAGGCTATCCACTTCTGTATTTTAAACAATCTTTAAAATTCATTGCTGGTTAATTACATTCAGCAATATCACAGCTTATAGGACGACAGGTAAAACATAAAAAAAGTCTGGTGCAGTCAGTCTTATGATGAGTACTGTGACCAATTCAGTTTTCAACCACCATGATGAGTCTACTAAATGATCAACTCACGACCAGATAATACAGTAAAGGGAATTATAAACTTAATGACAAATGCTGCATATCAAGTCTAGAAGATATGGCATGCTATTCTGCTTTTGTTGTTATTTAATGTTACACTCAGCAATATTTCAGCTAGAAAAAATCAATACAATGGTAAGATTTGTTAACAACAATCCACTTCATTGGGGTATGATGACAATGCATGAATTTTAGTCATGTTGTGGGAGCTAGCCCAGACCAGTTTTGTGAACAATATTGCATTTCAATGAGTGAAACCAGCTGTTATGACAGTATGTAAAATCAAGTTTAAACCACACAATCCATAGACTGGTGTTGACAACATGATTTCTGCATATCTTGAAGATGCAGTGTGTAGTGCCACTTCAGCATTATTGCAGCTCTATTGTGGCAGCCAATAAATACTATATGATTTTCTAGTAACATTACAAATAACATGCTTTACTTACATGATAGTGTGGTCCAAATAACCATCCTCTTCCACACCTCCAAATTTGTCTTCATCAGCAGCTGGTAACAGATGGGTGTCCACTTGTTTCTTTATCATGATGTTGATATGTTTTGTATGTATTTTAAAGCCAAAACACAGCAGTGCTGTAGCTGTATAATGTGTATAATTCATGAAACTGATTTCTGATGTTCACTGCCCAGATATTACTGAAACATTGGCAAAAGTGGCAAAATACATACTCACTCACATGTAGTGTAACACTATATTCACTCAATCTCCTCATCTATGTTCAAATTCCCACATGGATACAATGGAAAAGACTGTTGGTGTTACCCACTTTCATTTTGCTTAAATATTGCTGAAAGCAGTGTAAAACCATTCTCACTGATTCAAAGTCATCATATTCATATCTCTATTTTCAGTGTACATTTTAATGTGTAGTGTCACACCCAAGACTTCGGTTCAATTCTCTACATGGGTACAAGGTCTGAACCCCATTTTCTCCCTTGCCGCCATATTGCTATTCACTCACTCACTTTAATGTGTAGTGTAGAGCTGTGGACAAATTTAATGTGTAGTGTAGAGCTGTGGACAAATAACTCCAATGTACGATTATACATATGCCTTCATATGTTTTGAGATGGACGAGCCCATTTCTCGTGGTCCTGTGCTGTGATATTGCTGGAATATTGCTAAAACAATGTAAAACTAAACTCTCCCTCTCTCTCTGAAGTGGACTTTTTCACACATCATCCCAAGACCTACATGTTTAATTTCCCACCTCTGTACAATGTGTGAGGCAATTCAAAATATTAATTCTCTTACATGTGAAGTCTATTTCTTTCCTACCCCTGATATTGCTAGAGTATTGCTTTTGAAACCAGGTGAACCAAGCTCACATGTACTGGTAAGTGTAGTGAAAAAAATCATCCACACTCAATTCAAAGTAATCATATATAAAGAACAATTTGGAGGTGTCGAAGAGGATCGGTTATTTGGACCACGATATACTGTAAGTACAGCATGTGTTTAGTAATGTTAGCATATAGTATATACTCACAGTCACTATGGAAGTGCAATTTTGCTCAGTGACTTTACACAATGAATCTTCAAGATATGCAAAAATTATTATTTTTGTGTATCAATTTGTTTGACTTGATATACAGATTGCCATGACAGCTGACATCATTTTTTATATACTAATCATTGTACTGACACTTATAAAATATCTACTTTGTTCATTATAAACTTGAATTGTGTATCCAAATATAGTTTTCAATAGAAAGTTTGTTACCTAACACAAATATGTGTTTCATTCCCCATATCAACTTAGTATCTGCTCTGTTTAAATATACAAAACAATTATATTTCTATTGAAACATAATATTTACATCATTAATTCAAACTAACACTAATAATATGCCATTTACTAATCATTTCATTATCTTATTTAAATTTTGCCTAATTCAGCTTCAACAATCTTTTCATGTTCACAAATACAAACAACTACACACCAACCCACAATTAAAGTTACAACAATAAATAACGTACATATCCAAATATATGGTACATATCACTAAACATTTTAACAATCAATATATTTCACTAATTTCTGAATATATCATCAGTGTATAATTAAAATATTTCTAAATGTATGCATCAATATACTATATAACTAAGATGTTAAAATTTGATAATACAAACCAGATTTTTCTAGAACCAATTTATAAATAATACAACATTATGTTGGGTTCAGTCTGCTTCACCAGAGATAATTTTTACTAGTGTGAAATTTTCCATACAATATTTCACATAATATAAAAATACTATTTTTGTTATTTTTTACAATAAACTATGTACTTTAGACTTAAAATTAAGGTTACACTATCTTTAATAATCCAACCTTATCATTTACAATTAATAACATCAGGTGGTCAGACTCACTGACTTATTTGACACATCATATTTACTTAATTCAATGGTTATAACATTAATCATTGAATTATCTACTTTTACACTTGATTATTTACGAACAACACCAGACTTGATAAAACACACACCTCCACCACATAGCTACAATATAACTCACTGTACCATAAAACTAAACATTTACCCACCATGTGCTGCATTTATCTGTTAATCGTATTCATACAATAATAACAATCTATACTAGTATGTTAACTTATATGACCTTTGCTATTACAATATGTCAATTAATCTGCTCAACAATTTGTGAAATTTCAATTTGTGATAAAATCTTTTGTATTCGACTTTGTAGATGGCTATTACACATGCTTACATAACATATTACCATCAATCTTTCAAATACATTACATAACTGTACTAATTATCTGAATTAAAACAAACACAATAAATTCATATGCATATAAACATTATACAAAAAATATACTAACATTTGTTTATAATCTACCATGGAACCTTTTCCCTTTACCACTCTAATGCAACTTTTTCAAAATCATTATTGACAAACTCTTTCAAATCAAACAATCTTTTACCATAATAACCTATATTATCAACAAACTAAGTTCTCACTTCCGTTTACACATACATGCTTCCA